GGTGTTGTCATTGCAGGAGCCCCCTCAGCGAGCCTCTGCTGCAGCCCTACCCGCCCCGGCAGCACGGCCCCCGGCACAGCCACCGGCACGTCAGGGACTGCCAGCCCGTCAAATACGGCAACATCACGCACGAAGCGTGGCCCGGCGACAACAGCACGGCCGGCCCGGTGGCTGTCACCAGAACGTTTGTCTCGTACATCCACCCAGAGGGCAGCGGCCGCAAGGTGATCTATGGGCACTTCACTTTCGTGAGGAACCCCCTGAGCACCTTCTCTGTGCTGGAGCCGGGCGGTGCCGGCGGCTGCCTGGCTCAACGCAGAGCCACCGTGGAGGAGACTGCAAAACTCAGGAAGTGTCTGGTGGCCCAGAACGGCGGGTACTTTAACATGGAAACTGGAGAGTGCCTTGGGAATGTTGTGAGCGATGGAAAGCTGGTGAGAGACTCTGGAGGCCTACAAAACGCACAGTTTGGCATCCGGAAAGATGGCACCATGGTGTTTGGGTAAGAGCTGGGGGGTGTTTGGAGAATGCTCTCTAGCCTGAAGACTCTCAGGCATCACTGGGCACGAAGCTCATCCCAGCACTGCCTCTTTGGCCTCCCCAGTTAGAACGGAAGCTCACTTGGAGTGCTGTACCTCATGGAGCTATTTCTGTGGCCCTAGGCTCATGTCCTAGGATGAAAAGGAGCTTAGTAAGTTATGATCCCCAGCTGCTTAGGTTGCAGTGTCTGCTCTCCCAGTGTGCAGTAGGGACGCTGGGTGGGGTGGAAGGGGAGAGGGCTCTGTGTTCACCACAGAGGAGATGCAGAGTGGAGTGTGTGTGCTCTGGTGGCAGTACAGAGAGGCTGGGCTTTGGAAGGGACCTCAGGAGGTGCCTCACCCAGCTCAGCACAGGTTGGATGGCTGCTCAGGGCCATGTCTGGTTCGATTTTGAACATCTCCAAGAATGGAGACTCTACATCCTCTCTGGGAAAACCTGTGATTGACCATATTAACACTTTTTTGGAACACTAAGGGCAGTGACTCCACCACTGCCCTGGGCAGCTGTGCCAATGCCTGACCACCCTTTCCATTAAGGATTTTTCCCCATATCCAATCTAAACCTCCCCTGGCCCAGCCTGAGGCCGTTCCCTCTCCTCCTGTCCCTGTTCCCTGGCAGCAGAGCCCGACTCCCCCCGGCTGTCCCCTCCTGTCAGGGAGTTGTGCAGAGCCAGAAGGGCCCCCTGAGCCTCCTTTTCTCCAGGCTGAGCCCCTTTCCCAGCTCCCTCAGCTGCTCCTGCTGCTCCAGCCCCTTCCCAGCTCTGTTCCCTTCTCTGGACATGCTCCAGCCCCTCAATGTCCTTCCTGTCATGAGGGGCCCAGGACTGTCCCCAGGACTGGAGGTGTCTCAGCAGTGCCCAGCACAGGGGATGGTCACTGCCCTGGGCCTGTGGCCACACTGTGCCATTGGCCAGGTGCCATTGGCCTCTTGCTCACCTGGGCATGTGACCCTCCCCAAGCAGCTGGAGACAGAAGCTCTGATCACCCTCTGATGAGGAATATTTGACTTTGATACCTAACTTGATATTTGCAACACCTCCAGGAGCTGCCCTTCCCCAGCAGCAGGAGGATCCTAAAAGTCACAGAAGGGTTCCCAGGACCCTTCTGATGGTCTCAGAAGATGCAGCAGCGACCTAGAAGCTGCATCCTCCACCCTTGTGGTAGCTCAGTCCCAGGCCTCAAGAAGGATCCCTGCAAAGCCACACTGAGTGTGCCAAGCCAGGGCTTTATCCTGCAGCCATTCTGACAGCCCTGAGTATCATGGCCTTGGTTTATGTGGGAGAGGGGCTGTGTGGGTCAGTGACATGTCCCTCCTGTGAGGGGGCTTCTGCAGAGGGGACCAGCAGCAATTTCAGAGTCACTGAGTCCTTAACCTCAGCTCTGCCCTGCTGTTCCACAGCTCTGGCAGGTTGTCCCTGGTAAATGGAGCTATTGTGGTGTTTGGTGGCTTTGTGCCTTCCAGATCATGATCAGAAAAATAGTTTAGGTGTAAATAATTTTGGCTGTCAGGACAGTGGGGAAAGTTGTTCACAACTTCAGTTTTTCACCCTGCATCATGACCAGCTGGACACAGTTACCCCACCCTGCAAAGCTGCTGCTGCTGCTCCCTGGGCTGAGTGGGTGAATCCAGGTTTTACAAGCTGTCAGTCCCTGCCCAAACTGTTTTGTAGTTTGATCTATTTTCAGCCGTGTTCATGTTGTCTTCTTGTTTCTTTCCCATGGGAAAAGGGAATTTGTTTTGCATATTTTCCATTCAGGTATTTACAGTAACACTTTTCTACAAAGTATAAAGCTTTCTTTGCCCACAGTCACAGATACCAAACAAGTAAAAATTGGGCATCCAGGTCCCACAAGACATCAAAAAAGTCACCTTTAAACCCAAACTCTCTGGCAGAGCACAGCTGTCCAGCTCCAGCCCCTGCTCCCGGCCTCTCAGTTGCAAACATCCCCCAGCAGCAGGCTCTGTTCCTCATCACCCTGACTCAGGAGAGAGCAGCATCCCTCGGGAAGCAGCCTGTGGTGACACACAACACCCGAGCATGGAGGTGGCAGCTGAGCAGGAGCAGTGGAACCTCCTTCCCAGATGGAAGGAGCAGGAACATCCAGTGCAGCTGCAGGCAGGCTGGATGCTGTAGCTCCAAATGCTCTCCAAACCTGTTTGGTGTCACATTTTTGGAGAATAGAAGCTGACAGGCAGCAAGATGTTACAGCTGCTTCCACAGATCCCTGAGTATTTGGCAGTGGCTCTGTCCTTGTGTTCTGCCAGGTGTTTTCTGTCCTTGTTACCTTGGCTCGGATCCATTGGCCACATTGCTGCCATTGCTGGCATTGCTGGCAGTGTTGTTGGCCTGGGACCATCATTAGCTGTGGGTTTGTGCAGAAGAGCAGAGAACAGGGGCTGCTCTGGCTGCTAAAATGATGTTTCACACTGCTTGACCCCTGGTTTTGGATGTAGCTATCCTTCATTCTGCCTTCTTCTGCCCTCCTCCCTGCTTCAGGAGCCTGCTGGCAGCAGGAGAGGCTTTAACATGACATGCTGTGACTGTGGGTAACCCTCCTGCCCTCTGTTCCTAGTTACCTGTCTGAGGAGGATGTCCTGGATCAATCAAACCCTTTTGTGCAGCTTGTCAGTGGGGTGGTTTGGCTGCTGAGGAATGGAGAGGTGTACATCAACCAGAGCCGGGTGGCCGAGTGTGGTGACACTCAAACCACAGGTAAATATTGTGGGGCCTGGCTTCAGCCTGGCCATGGATTGTCCTTCTCCTGGGACTCTTGGGAGAAGGGGCACTTATGAAGTCCAACTTTCATAGAATCATAGAATAGTTTGGGTTGGAAGGACCTTAAAGACCATCTTATTCCACACCACTGCCATGGGCAGGGACACCTTCCACCAGACCAGGTTGCTCCAAGCCCTGTCCAGCCTGGCCTTGGGCACTTCCAGGGATCCAGGGGCAGCCACAGCTTCTCTGGGCACCCTGTGCCAGGGCCTGCCCACCCTCCCAGGGGAGCAATTCCTATCATGTCTAAACTGTCCAGAGAAATTCAAAGCATGTGACTCTTACAGGAGTTTAAAGCCAAGGGATTGTGAATCCCCTGCTTTGTCCCTGTGCCAGACAAAATCTTAATCAAGAGCAGTTTTGTAGGGCTTGGATGAGCAAGGGGAGCCCGGGCTGTGCTCTCACTGTGTTTCAGTTCAGATGAAGCCCTTGCTGGGAGCCCTTTCACAGACAGATGTGTCTTAACAGCCCATTCTGTCCCCCAGCTGAGTGTGAATTGTTCCCTGTCCTGCAGGAACCTTCGACACGTTCATCAATGTCATCTCAGCCAGGACTGCGGTGGGACATGACCGTCAGGGCCGCCTGGTCTTGGTTCATGTGGATGGACAGACAGAATCCAGAGGGTGAGGGCTGGGGTAAGGTCTTAAATTCCTGGGACTGGAGGGACACTGCAGCTGTCAGGGACATGTTTTAAGGCAGAGGCTTGCAGAGCTCAGGAGAGCCAGAAAAGGCTCACCCAGTCCTCCTCAGGGTGCCTGGGATGGGAGAGCTTCCCCTTCCACCACACAGAGAACAAGCTCCTGATCTAACAGCTTCACTGAAGGCAAATCAGCAAACAACCTCTGCTTTGCAGGGTCAACCTGTGGGAAATGGCAGAGTTCCTGAAGCAGCAGGGAGTCGTCAACGCTATCAACCTGGATGGTGGAGGCTCTGCCACACTGGTCCTGAATGGGACCCTGGCCAACTACCCCTCTGAGCACTGGTAGGTGCTGCTGCCTCGTGCCCAGGGCTGCCCCGGGGCCCTGCAGCTCCTGTCAGGGTGCAGAGCCCAGCACCACGCCCTGGCCTGCCTGGAAGGGCACAGCAAAGGCAGCTGACAGGATCTGCTGGAGAGAGCAGCTCTAGAATTTAAAGAGATTGAATGACTCCATGTTTTTTCCACTTAGTTATCCAGGATTAAAGCTGAGCTGGTTCCAGACAGGCAGCAAAGCTGTGGCTTTGACTGAGTAGCTGATGTGGGAATCAGATAAGGCAGCAGCTCTTAGTCTGGGAGATTCAGAGCTGCACATCCATGGGAATTAGCAGAGATCTGTCAGCAGCTTATTATTATGGAAGAGAAACATTGACTGGGAGACCCTGCCCTGCCTCATTGGAGGGAATCTAAAGAATATTTTGTTTTAAATTCAACTTTTACTCAGTTCTGACTGTAAACATGAAGGGATTTAACATTCAGTTGCCATAACTACAGTGATATAATTTATATCAAAGCAAAAAACATTCAAGGAAACATCTGCTGGGTGCCAAAATGAGGGAAGCTGGGACTGCTTTAAGGGAGACTGTGTTGCTTCTGTAATTCCATATTTGAAATGATACCTATCAGATGGGATTTATAACTCAGTTAAAACATTGACTCCAATGTGGTTTCATTATTATATTTTCCCAGTATTAATGTTCCCGTTTGCCAGTGTGGATCAGGAGGAAATCTCTGGGTTATAGAAAGGCTGTTGGGTTGTGCTGGGCAGGGCAGTGCTGGCTCAGCTCACTCTGTCCCCTCTGCTGTCCCCTCTGCTGTCCCAGCTCCTTCAACAGCATGTGGCGGTGTCCCCGGAGCATCTCCACGGTGGTGTGTGTGCACGAGCCGGGCTGTGACCCTCCCGACTGCAGCGGCCACGGGCTCTGCGTGGCCGGCCAGTGCCACTGCCACGGCCCCTTCTGGGCAGGTCCTGCCTGCGACACCCTGGACTGCGGCCCTGCCAACTGCAGCCTGCACGGCGTCTGCAGCGCCGGTGAGTCCCTGCGGGCTGACACCGAGGGGCGCTGCAGGGAGAGCACGGCCTGGCCGTGCATCCCTGGGGAATAGCCCTGGGGAATATCCAGCCTGCCTGCCGGGTACCAGCTGGGTGGGTGGGGCTGCTTCCCCTCTCCTGATCAGAACACCTTGCCTTGAGGAGCCGGCAGCAGGGCTGGGCTGGGGCTCGGGGCTGGCTGTGTGCAAGCTCCGTGCCTCGGTTTCCCTTTCTGCCCCAGGGTTGTGCTCTGGGTTTCTTGTGAGGCTGCTGATGGGCAGGGCTGTGTGTTATGCTGTGTGACAGCAGCTGCTTCTGTCCCCTCCCCTTACTGTTCCTTCTTCACTTGCCTTTCCTACTTCATAACTTTTTACAAGTGTGCAGTTGCTGCTTTTCTATGAATCTGAACCTAGGGATTGCTGGAATGGCTGTCCCCAGCTTCTGCCCCTCATGCCCAGTCCTGTTACCCTCTTCCTGTCCTCCTGACTCTTGTCCATGCGTGTCCCAGGGCAGTGGCTGGGCAGAGCTTGGTGGGTGCAGGTGTAGCTGACCCAGAGCTGATCCCAGGGAATGCTGTCAGCAGGGATTCTGCTGCATTTGGCAGCTGAGGAAGGGGGATGTGTGTGAGCCCACCCTTTGTGTGAGCGCAGGTTTCTCCTCTGGGGGTTTGCTGGCAGGGGTAAGAGGTCACCTCAAGAGGCAGAGGCTCCTAATGTCAAGTCCTTGCTGCTTGCAAGTGTTTTTTTGCTGTCAGTAATGCCTGTTGCATGTGTTTGCACAGCTGGATGCCTGTGTGACGCCGGCTGGACTGGCAGCAACTGCACTGAAGGTAAATACTGCCTGCTACTCCACTGCCTCTTCACAGCCTGGGAGAGGGGACTGGGAGCCACTTTCCAACAGCTGCCTGCCCCAGGGGAGCAGGGAAGGGAAAAGCCACCCCGTGGGCTGGGCTGCTCTTTTCTGGCAGTGTGAGTTTAATTGCAGCTGGAGCATCTACAATTGGCTTGGTGTGGGACACTCAAGCCCTTGCTCCTTGTTCAGGGCACACACTCAGCTCATTGCTGAGCATCCCTGCACATCCTGAGCTGTGGCTGAGTGCTGGGATTGCTCACCTCTGCCCCAGAGCTCTTCTGGGCCTGCCTGTCCTACCCAAATGGGCTAAAAAGGAGAGGAAGGAGCAGAAAGGAAAGAGGAATTTGCTTCAGCAACAGAAAATTGTGGATTCCTGGTTAGTCTCAGCCCCAAAGAACTGCATTATTTTCTGACAGCCCTTAAGTGAGCACAGAACATCCTCTGCTCCAGGGTGTTGCACCAGGCCCTGCTGTAGCCCATGCTTCAGGTGCTGCAGGTCAGTGCCTGTGGAATGTTCCAGAGGGCTGTCCTGCCATCCCATTCTCACACTCCTTGTGCCAGTGCTAGCAGAGCTGGCCCTGTTCTGCCTCGTGTAACCACCCCAGGCCCCCCTGTATCTGAGTGAATGAGTTTATTACAGTGGGGTGTGAGCTTCCTGGCTGGCTGATTCTGTCAGTGATGTTCTGTTCCAGCCTGGGAACACTCAGCCAATCCCATCCCAGAGATGCTGCCCAGAGCAGCTGTGGCTGCCCCTGGAGCCCTGCAAGTGTCCAAGGCCAGGTTGAATGGGGCTTGGGGCATAGAGGAAGGTGTCTCTGCCCATGGCAGGGGGTTGGTGCAAGATGAGCTTTAAACTCCCTTCCAACTCAAACCATTCCATGATTCTGTGATCCCAGTTTTACACAGAATCCCCTCTGAGGCACACCAGAGAAGCAGCCCTGAACTGCCAGCATGGTGCTCCCAGGCTGCTGCAGCCTCAGCCTCAGAGCAGGTGGAGCTTTGGCAATGACCAATCCCTTTGTGATCCCATCCCCAGAGTGTCCCCTGGGCTGGTTTGGGCCGAGCTGCCAGAGCCGCTGTGCGTGTGACCACTCGTGTCCCTGTGACCCCGAGACGGGCAGCTGCAACATCAGCCACCACGGGGCACTGCAGGAGCACTTACACAGAGGTACCGGCTGCAGGGGGCTGGGCTTTGGGAAACAGCTGGGAGAGTACCTTTAGTGAATAATGGTGTTTGCTTAGTCACAAGCTCTGCTTAACTTTGCTCTTAGTGGAATTTTAAACCCTGCCCCACCTTTCTTCCCTCTGTTTTCCAGCTGGACAGTGTTTGGCTTCCCAGAAAAAAGAAAAGAGCAAAGAAAAATTCTCTCTGTCAGAGTAAGTGTGTGGTGCTCTCTGTGCACCTCAAGGGCTGTCACAGAGCATGGGGGGGTGTTCAGTCAGCTCAGGAGGGTCCTCCTCAGTCTCCACAACTCCCTGACAGGAGGGGACAGCCAGGGGGGTTGGACTCTGCTCCCAGGAACAGGGACAGGACAAGGGGAAACGGCCTCAAGTTGTGCCAGGAGAGGTTTAGTTTGGATATTGGGGAAATTCCTTCTCAGAAAGGACAGTCAGGCCCTGGTACAGGGTGCCCAGGGAGGTGGTGGAGTCCCCATCCCTGGGGGCATTTAGAAGCTGTGTGGATGTGGCAGTTGGGGACATGGGTAAGTGGTGGCCTTGGCACTGTTAATGGTTGGACTCGATGATCTTGGAGGGCTTTTCCAACCTGAACGATTCCCTGGTTCTCTCCTGCCTGAGAGCAGGGCCAGAAGCTTTGGAACACAGAGAAGGGACAATCCTCTGCACAGTGGGCACGTGTGCCACAGGTGAGCTGTTGGTGATGTGATTTGTGTGTCCCACAGAAGCTGGTGGCTGTCCCTGAGCTCTGCCTTGGCCCTGCTGCTTGTGCTGAGTGTCCTGGGGAACGTGGGGCTGGTGCTGCGGGGGCGGCAGCACCAGGACCGGGACTATCGCTACCTCCCCCTGAGGGACATCAACGGGGACACCCCTCACAACCCCACCTCTGCTGCCTGGGACCAGGAGGATATTCAGGAGCCTGAGGACACTCAGGAGCCAAACCAGGAGTTCCTTTAGAGTCATGGATGGGATGAGGTATTTCACCCTGCATTGCCCCTCAGCACCGACTGGGACTGGGGCTGTTCCCACTACAAACCTCAGACTGCTGTCTGAGGAACCTCAGCCCAAGAACTGCCCTGTTGGGGCTGTGGTTTCCTTTCCTCTGCTGCCCCAGCACCCAGAACTGCAGCATTAGGGGATGCAGGACATCCCTTGGGTCAGGGAATTCCACAGCTGCAGGTTCCAGAGGGGCTGGTTCCTCCCAAAACTTGAGCAAAACAGGTGAGGGATGCAAGTTACAGGTACTTCAGAAAGATCCCTGCTCACCCAAGCAGTGCTTTTTAAGATGCAAGTTAAACTGCCTCTAGTACAAAGCTGGGCTTAAGGCTATTACAGTCAATGTGTGCCCTTCCTTGCTGAACTCAGATTTTAATCAGAAAATCTGAAATGTTGAAACAGTTGCAGCAGCCCGTGCCAGCAGAGCCCTCCTCTCTCAGCTACGCAGGGTTGTGACAGCCCTGTGCAGGGCTGGAGTGTTGTCTGACCAATCCTCAAGCCAGAGCAGCCCCAGAGGGTGATGAGTGCTGTGTTTTGGGGCAGTTCCTGCAGCACAGCACTACAAAAAGCTCTGACAGGTCCCAGGTTCCATTTGTGCATCTCTCCAGCTCCCAGGGGCCAAAGGCTCTGCCCGGCTCCGTGGGCACTGACAGAGCCTGGAGCTGTCCCTGTGAGGAGGGGCACTGACAGGGACAGCCTGGCAGGGCTGGCATGACACACACTGGGCTGCCCTATCCCAGCTGGGCACTCCTCAGAGGGACCAGCAAGATCTCCAGCACAGTCAGGCTCCTCAGCACCTTCTCTGGGAATCTGGGACACATCCTTGCACAGTTCCATGAAAACAGTGAGTTTGCTTCCCTGTGAGGGAAGACCCAGCCTTGGACGAGCCCCTTGGATGCTGCAGAGGGGTGAGAGCCTGTCTGAGCCCCACACATTTTTATGCATTCACTCCCTTTTTACCTCTCCAAGTAAAGGTTGTGTAATTTCTGTGCCAGTGTTGGCATGAAATCAGCCTGTAACCAAGAGACTCTATTTTTCTATGATTTACAGGACATTATTTGAAACTTGAATAAAGTCTATTAGTGCTATGTGCCTGAAACTCAGAATTTGTGATGTGCAGCTGCAGAAGGAGCTGATCCTTTCCCAGTTTAACCTCAGCCACCCAGTGGAACCCAAGGGCTCTTTTATTTTTAATAACACCCACACTGCAGGATGTGCTGCTCCAGCCCACTCTGTGCTAGGAAACTAAACAAAAGATGCTGATACTGTAGAAAAAAAGCCCAAACATTTTAGTTAAAAAGTAGCAAAAAGTGAATCTAAGCCTTATTTCTACTTCTGGGAGCCAGAGAGCAGCACACAGGCTTCAATTTTAATTGTCCTGCAATTTCAACAGTTTGAAATCAACAGTTGAATCAAGTCCACATGTTCTCAGAGATGTTTTATTTCTCACATACCCAAAAGTACAGCTCTACCAGGACCCACAAACACCACCACTGGAGGACATCTGTTATTTCAGTGCCCTGCAGTGGGCTTTTACAGGAGGTTTGGGGGTTTTGGCTGAGAAAAATTAAGATTTCAATGTATAAAACCAAAGCCAGCTGCAAAGGAAAGTGCTGCTAAAAAACTTAATTAATGCCCATTTAATACACGTGTAACTGAAAGCTTGGAAGTGGGTGTTGGTGTCACAAAAATCCAGTAAATGTGACTTGACTCCAATTTCACTTTCCAAGAGAGAAATAATCAGATATAAGGAGCATCACAAACGTGTTGGAGGAATATTAAAGTTAATTGCATGCAGGAATCTTTGACAGCTGCTGTCAACTAAGTCTCTAATAGCTGTTCCTTGCATTAATTGCTCACAGTGCAAACATTTGGGATATTAAAGCAGTGTGAGTTTATAAAATGCCTTTTGAAATGAGGGATTCCCTGCCTGAAGCCTCAGCCCCAGCAGCTTCCCAGCCCAGTGTGGTGGACAGCTGGGCTTGCCACTTCCTACTGGGAATTGCGAGTGGATTGTGGCATTTTCAAAGCCTTTTGCCAATAAAGCAAACTGGGATTACAAATTGTTACTCGCAGTTCCTGGAAGGGAAGGGACAGAACTGAGCTGGCTGAGCAGAGGAACACAGCTGCTCTCAGTCACTCAGGATTCCCTGGGCTGTTGGGAATTCTGTTCTGAGGAAGGACGGGGCTGCTCCGGTGCCTCCCTGGGAGAGCCCCCAGTGGCGGCTCTCAGCGCTCCCCTGGCACCCGGCAGAGGTGACACCTGCGGGGCTGGAGCTCAGCCCTTCTCCTTCAGCGGGGACAGAGCCCTCTTCACACCAGAGAGCAGCAGAATGGCTCAGGATTGTGCCCTGAACGACAGCTGAGGCCAGCCACCATCCATCCTCACACCCCGTGTTTGCCCTTCCCTGCCCTGGGACAGAGCCCAGGGAATGGGGCAAACCCGGAGAGCTCCCTGGGAATGAAGGTGTCACACCTGGCTGTATTTAACTGCAACCTCTGGCACAGCATCCTGCACTCCCCCAGCACCACGAGACACCACAGCAGCTCTGAGGTAGGTGTTGTGTTTGCATAGGGAACATCTGAACCAGGGACAGCCCCAATTTCCTGGGAGCCAGTTTTTAATTAGCAGCTCCTTCCCTGCACACAGCCTGAGCTCATTGGCCTCGCTGCAGAGCAGGGAGGGAGCAGGAAGGGCTTTGCTGCATCACCCAAAATGAGGCCACGGCCCAAGGTTGTGGCTTAGGAGATTTCTGAGGATCCAGGACCCCTCCCAGACTCAGCTCACTGTGAAGAAAACTCTTGAGTTTATTTTCTAAAGCACATTGATGTCGTTTGAGGGAGGAAAAAGGTGATGTAGAAGAATTCTGTGTCTCTGGTATCTGCAGTTCACAAGGTCAGGTTTAAAAAGCACAGCACAGCATCCAGGCTGTTGCTCCCTTTCTCCTGTTAACATCAAGGAGGAAAAGGAAAAAAAAATACTGGATTATTTAAATTGGTTTCAAAGTAAATTGTCAGGAGGGATAAACCAGGCAGCCTTGCCAAAGAGAGGTCACAAGCTGCTTCACAGACCTGTGCCATGATCTCTGATGGGCAGAGGAATGGTCCTGCCAAGGGACAAGAGGAAAAACTGGGATTGGGATATCCCCAGAGCCAGGAACACCCTGTGGAACCAGCCCTTGACCTCACCCTTCAGAGACTGACCAAGTTCCAGGTGCTTCACTGACAAAAGTTAAACACCCAAAACTTCTGGTGGGCAGAAAACAGCATATCCCACATTTCAAAATAAAATGAAAAAAAACAGGGCAGAGGAAGAGATTCTTACCCAGAGCAAACCCAGGGAACAGGAATTTTGCCACTGTAGGATGTGAGCAACCATGTGAGAAAGGCAAGCAAAATCCTGAAACAGCACAGGGGGGACAAGGCTGGGTTTGCTCCTGGGGCTTTGGGAATCTGAAACTGTTTCTAGAATCAGATTTTATTGTAAGTCAAGGATTTTCCATGAGGGATACACACATGCACTTTTTCTTCCAGAATTCCTGACTTTTCAGAGGAAAGGTGGTATTTGCCCTTCTTTATCAGATGCCAGTTATGCTGAAATGCCAGAGACAAAAGTTTCATTTGCCTGGGAGAAAGATTAAGGTCTATGGAACAAATGAGAATTGGAAATCAGAACTTTCCTGAGCTCTACATAACCAAATTACCTGTTCACAGGGAGAGATGCAAGGTGGACAGTGATTCCCTTGGCTCCAATCCTTTAAAAACCCCACCAAACAACTGAAAACCGTGTCAAGTTCTTTGTCTCTCATTGTCCCAAATATTTTGGCTCTCTTCTCCTTTGGCAGAGCCTGGTGCTTCAAAAACATTGATTACAAAAAGCAGGGCAGGAAGGAACAACTTCACAGATTCCTGAATAAAAACTTGCTGAGTATTTGACACCTGCTCTCTTTTTTTTTCACCTGGACAAGAACATGGGTAACTTTGCTCCCCGACCTGACTACAGGAACAATCAAAGTTCAGGGACAAACATGGCATTTTTGGTGTGTAGGAAGACGGTGCCTCTTCATGACAACTCCTGAACTCAGTCCTTGTTTCTTAATCCTAAAAAATTGCCCAAAAAAAGCACTGGACTCTCACCTTTCCTTGCAAGGAAGGTGACACAGCCCTTATTCCAATGCAGCCCTTTTGCAAGAACATGCAGTGATCACAAAGATCTGGACCCAAGCAGAAATACTGCTTGGGATTGAAGACAATTAGTTATTCCTTTCTAAAACAAAGTTCATCCCATTAAAAAAGGTGACTGTATTTAATAAATAGTCATTTCTGACATTATAAATAAGTTAAGAATTAATTTAAAATAAGCTAGTATAGAATAAATAGGCTCCAGTAAGTGCTTACATACATACACTCCTCTCTGAAAGGTTTCAAGTGAGCTCATGTTTAAAAGAAGCGAGTGCTGTAATACTGCCAGAAAATCTTGTGCCTTCAGGAAATCAAATATTGCTTTTCTTAGCCCTTTAGTATTGGATTCAGTTCCCATCCACTCGGGAATGGGACAGACCTACTCATTATTGCTGTAAACCTGAGTAAAAAGAATCAATAGTTTGGAAGATGCCACTCACTGGAGGCAGATTCAACGCCTGGAACTTGTAAAAAAAAAAATCATTTTGACTTTGTTTTTTAGCAGGGTTAAAAAAATTCAACACATTTCCCAGAGCATCCTGCCAGACCAGAAGAAGTTTTTGGTCTGGCCTGGAAGTGATTTCTGAACTGTCCTACCTGTAACCAGGTATTGGCAGTTCCTTCCAAGGCCCTGCCCCTGGAATGCCCACTTGGCTGTCTAGTGTGGAACCAGTACCCTGTGGGCACCCAGGACATTCCCTTAGTTTTGCCACCCAGGAATTATCTAAAGGTCCGACAGGTAAGGCAACATCAGCCTCTTCTGTGGGAAAAGGACCGATGGGAAGAGCCCTTTGGAGTGGAGTGGAATGGATTCCTGCAAACTCACAGGCACCCAAAATCCAAGGTGGTGAAGGAGGCTACTGAGAAGGAGGCAGCTGACCCAAAACTCCTAAAGCTGCCCTTGGAATTTCAGTTTTTGTGGTTGAAGCAGCTCCCAGAGACCTCTCTGTGTCCAAATGGCTGTGACTGCCCCGAGGCTCAGCCCTGGAGCTCTTTGGTTTGGGGCTGGAGCAGCCCCGGGGGTCCCCCTGCTGCTGAAGCCTTGGCTCTGCTATCTGGAGAGGTGGGAGCTGCTCTGGGACTGGCTGGAAGATGTGGTGACTCCACTCAGCTGGGAAAAGCCGCTGTTGCAAGATTCCAGGCTCGACATGGATCCCCTGGGATGGGACAGAACAGATGTGCTGTTAGGAAGGCAGCAATTAAGGGACAGCTATTCCTCTCCACCACTTACACAAGTGCTTTTTGGCCCATCATTTCCCACCTGCTCTCTAAGAATCTCTGTGTCATGATGAAAAATTAATCAGTCAGAGACATTTTTTCCCCAGTTACAGATATTATCCCTTGTCTCAGACTATTGTTCTGGGGAAGGGGACACAGCTGGAGCCTTTGGGAACTGTCCCTGAGGAGAAAGGAAACCTCCAGAGCACTCCAAATGCAGCCTTGTAAACCCAAGGACTCGAGGCTGCTGAACAGCAGAGCTCCAACTCAGCTCCTCCTGCCAAAAGCAGGAGGAAAAGCTCAGGAAGAGCCCCAAGGAACAAGCACGACTGGAGTGAGGCATTTCTACTGCTCTGAGCCCACAGGACCTGGCCAGGTCACACCTCAAGCTCACCAGACCTTCCAGTCTGTTCTGCCCAATGCCCCCTCCAGCTCCAGGGAAGGCTCAAGGACTCCCACAGAGCTCAGATTAACAGGAGATGGGATTGAAGGAGGAGGCCAGGCACACCCTGCCAAGGCTGGCTGTTCACCTGTTCAGAACTGCTCATCCTTCTCAAGTGCCAAACAAAATCATCTGGGGGAAATAGCCCAGCTGATATTTAAAATACTCCAAAAGCAACTTCTCAAAATATTCCCAACTAAGATAAAAACCGTCCTGAGTCTAAAACCTTCTGCTCCTCAGGTAGCTGCAAGTAAGAC